TGGCGCTTCGCCGGTAGTCACCCTGCTAGTACAGGTTGGTTTTAGCTTCTATTTTGATAAATTTAAAATGTTTGTATCTATTGAGGGGGGGACCAAAAGAGCCTGCTTCGTGTGTGGTGAGCATCGACAAAGCGGATTGGAGTTGGGCGAAGGGCCAAACTCGCGCGGCGATTTACCCGCAGAAGCTAGAAGCATTAGACCGAGAGCCCGCAAAAAATATTGACCAGAACAAATGAAAATTGAACTGATAGAGTGGCACGTTTCAATTTTTTGTCATCGGAAAACGTGGCACGAACATCCGTAGGTAGCTGGCTACAATATCATCGGCACGGTTATCTCGGCAGCCCCAACGAGGAGAGCAGTCGCCAGTGCAACGTCCTGAAAAATAGTGAAAATCCAAACTCATCACATATTTTTCCCACTATGCACATGATTCTCTTGTATGCATAGTACTCACCGCAGCAACGTGTCCTTTTTGTTCACAGACCGCCCCAAATTTTCATTGAAACCGGGATCCTCCCCATAACATCACACGGAAATTTTAAAGAATGAAGACCATGGGTTTACGTGTGTTTTTTTGGCTGGGATGCGTTGCTTCCCTAGTTGCAACAGGGGATTATGGGCAAGCAGATACAGTTCCAGTATTGGAGGTTGCAGAGGCAGGCACGGACTTGAAGGATCCTGCAGATGTTCAAGCTGAAGGGGATATTATACTGAACGAAGCGGATAAGCAACAAGAGGCACTGAACGATCTCAATCCTCCACCCTCAGCAAACCCCGGTTCAAAACGAGCATTAATGTTCGCCGTCGGCGTTTCCCTTCTACTCGCCGCTGCGGCAGTGGGCGTTTTGAGCTTCGGGACCTCTGCTTCAGCAAAAAAGCCTGAAGAATCACAGGAGGAAACGCCTTCAGATGTATCACCTGAAGCGAAAACGGCGGAAACACCAGGAGATGAGCAGGACGCGAAAACGGTATGCCAGCAGCTTCATCCAACATTGGCAGCTACCGGGACCACGGCCGTGGTTCGTCACGACAGTGCTGACTTGATTTGCGACTGCCAGCTGTGTGCAGCTCTTTGAAAGGCGAGTGTTCGAGTTGTTCGCTGCAGTGGTGTGCACATGCGTTGTTGCATGGCTCCCGGGCGTTTGAGACTCGCGCGGGGGACGCAGCGGGGGAAGATATGCATTTGGCCGGCGGAGGTGTAGCGGATAATTTCTACACGGGAGGGACAGTGGGTAGAAAGGGCCGTGGTGGTTGTGAGTGGGGATGTTTGTTGGGCTTAGCCGGTTGCCTAGCAAACTGAGTGTATGAGGTGTGGTTTGGTGTTCTGGCATGCTGACTGTAGAGTGAGTTGGTCGCGTGTGATGTGGGTGCAAAAGGAGTGGAGAAGTGAGATGCTGGGGTGAAGGGAGTTGAGGCTGAATGCTTGAGAGCGACTTTGTATTTCCAGGCAGAGCGGTGTAGGTAGGCAACAGTATGTGGATGAGCTGGTAGGTTTAGTTCGCTCCGTGTTTCAAAAGCTGAAGACGGTGGGTGTGCATGACACTACTTGCTCGTTTCGCTGCCGTTGGCTGTTGGGCAGAATTGTGGGTTGGGATGTTGGGTTTTGTGCGCAGCGGTGTTGATTGTTTATGGCGCTGGATTTGCCCTGTGGACTGGCCACTTGAATTGACAGATCATATGCGTGTGTGCCTTGGCCTGTAGTAGTCCACATGTATGTATCTGGAGACGCACTGAGGTATATAGAGCGGCGGGGCGATGCACGTGTTTGTGGTGTTTGTTGGGGACTATTTGTTCAGGCGCCTGAGACCGTGCGTTGTTAGCTCACTGCCAAAAGTCGTTTGGTATTTTTGCACAAAGGTAGATGCTCTGGTTAGGCGGTTTGGTTTCGTGGTGGGAGGTGCAGACTGGAGCCACGAGTTAGGCTGCGTAGTTTGCAATCTTGAATGAGCGCGTAGGACGTGGAGAGGTGATGCGTAGGGAGGTTTGTCGTGTGTGAGTTGGTTGGACTGCAGGTGAGGGATGGAGGGGTTTTGAGATGTTTTGCGCGTTTGTTGGGGACTATTTGT